AATTTTGATGGGTTGTGATTTAAATTCTAGTATTGCGAAGTTAACTTTCTGAAGTGATATCACATGGGTGAAGTATTAATTATTGCGTTTTTTTTTTTTCGTTTGTTATTAGAAATACATTTCAGAAAAATATTAAGAAAGAAAAGCCATTATCCGTACCGTATGATTATTTTCATGTCTATATTTGTTATTGCTGATTCGAAAAATGTAAAATTTTTATTGAATTTTCACTCTCATTTTTGTGCTTTTTCTGTTTTGTTTCGACAATACAAGCACGAAAACATTTATTTGCTTTCATTTCTGATAAATGATTGAACATCAGATGAGCATTTTTTATGTTGAAAATTGCATTTAAGTACCCTAATTACAAGTTTTATCAAAATTTGCTGTTGTGAGTTCTAATTAAGACTGCCATTCTTATAGATACATCATCTAACATTATTTCGTGTTAAAAGCAGGATTATATTCAGTTTGATTTCACACTTTCTCATCATCTTTTCGTTAAGAAATTTGTCGAGAAATCAGTTAATTTGTTGATATCCGCTAAAAATCTGGTTTTAATTACTTCTCTCGTATTAAAATTCATCGAATTCATCATAGAATTACAATTGTTAATTAAACCTATTTTTATTTCCGGACGAAAACTATTCAATATTTGAATTTATTGCGATACTTTCTGAAGTATTGCTCGATACTTTTATCTCATTTTCGTTCATATTTTGAGTATCAGTTCTACTATCTATTCACGATATTTAAAAAATTTTCATTCAAGACAATGCGATAGAAATATTTTAATCTTCCACACCACAACCTTTCCTCTGTCATTTGTCTCACTGAGAACAGACATTAAAGTGTTCCATCGGGAGATCGATTCACTTTTTGTGCAGTGAGTTTGATTTGCGCCCTGAATTTATCATCCTGTTTCATCGATGTTACGCTAAAAATAATTTCAATGCTCTGATTGCCATGCATATTGTCCACTGAATCTTCTGCTTTTTCTATTATAATAATAATAATTATTATTATTATTATTATCATTTCACTTCTATAACCACAATACATTTATGTTCGTTTTGAAAATTAAATCAAAAGGGAAAAAACAATACCACTTTAAAATATGGAAAAACAGAAGTAATAGGCGTTTATACAATAAAGGAACAATAACAATTGTTATTAATCACTTATTAGCATGAAGTTTCTTCTTTTTTTACAATTTAATAAAATTTAGTTGCGATGAAGTTATATTTGAGTAACTTTTTTCAACAGAATAATATCATAGATGCATTCAGTGCTTACCAAATGATTTATCTTTCAAAAAATGACTTTTCCTCTTCTTATAGATACCGCACAGTGAATGGTAGTGTTTTAGCAGTTCGAATTCAACAAAAACGCATCAGCCTAGTCTCTAGGCTACAGTGTATGTGTGTGTGTGTATGTGTCTGCATGTGTCTGTCTAAATATTCCTTGCACCAATAACTTATCATATCGATGTCATCGATTTTGAGGAAATTGTTCAGAAATGAAACAAAAAAAGTTACGCAAAAAAATTCCATCACTGGGCGAAATAACAGCTTTGTAAGTTAATTTTTCAATATTTCAAGTCAGCTTTCTTTGTTTTCAAGTGGAATTTGATAAAACAAAAAGTGAAATTAGCATATGGTTTTATTTGTTGACAAATAATGACATAAAATGTCCTATGGATGTTTCAAAATTATCTGAAACATTATCAGTAATAAACGAAACTTTACAGCCAGTACCGTACTTATCAAAACTCGAAGGCAATCAGTTACAGTCAGGTCAATCACTGATTGTTCGAGGTTATATCATTGGTTTGTTTTTGGAGTTAATTAAAATGTTCGTTTCTGAGAGGGAACTGGGAGGAATAGAAACAATACACAACGGCAGTGTGTCGTTTAAACCTGATAGCCAATCTAAAAAGAACAAATTAATAGAATAGTGATTAGATGAATATACCAAGAAGCTGAGAAGATAGGAGAAACCATTTTGGAGACATTTTTATGTACAATTTTGAATGTATGGACGTGCTGTGCGGTAAATATACTTCAAGATTCTAAATTAGTTTATGGTGAAAACTTTTCAATTTAATAAATTAAACTAAGATGTACTATTTATGAGTGCAAAAATTTGAATTCTACATAAACGAGTTCGGGTTTAGAATTTTAAGATTATCAAAAATAATAAAATTTAAGGACGTAATGAATTTATTATAAACCTTACAAATGGTGGAAAAGTGGAAAAGGAGAATGAAAATGATATTCTTGACAATCGACTTCTTGCTATTCGAGCAAATATTGCTTTGAAAAGAATTTATTTGAATGCCTGTATTGATGGCGAATGGGGAAGGTTAGTTTATTCGGTGTGAGAAGCAAATCTGAGAAGATTCCATTCATTGTTGAAATTTCTACTGGCAATAAATTATTAAGAAAAAAAAAAAATAATTTAGAGAAGGCTCAGTGAAGCATAAGTGGACACTTGGTGATGAATTCGATATACGAATTAGATGTCATGATAAATACTTTGAGGTAAATTTTCCAAATTTTTGAAAATGAAAATTTTTTTTCAAAATCTTTTTCAAATTAAATTTTCGAGAAAAAATTTTTCAAAAAATGACTAATCGTAAATTGAACACTTTGAGTAATTCTTAAAGAACAGTTTCTTTCAAATTATTATCTCTACTTTTCTATCTTTCATTAAATGCATTCAACAGCATTCTGGTATTTCGACAAGAAACTATTTTGAAGTAATTTCAGATATTCGTTGACCATAAATTACTAGCCAAATTCGCGTATTACGTGCCAATTTCAAATATTTCACACATTTATATGAACGGCGATGCCGAATTATATACAGTCTCGTGGGAGGGCAAGTATTACGTAAGTATAGCTTTAATTTAATTTTAATTTGAATAGCTTTAATGAAAATAAACGGTGGTGTCAGTAATGTTAAGCATTCGTATTTATTTTAAATTTCCAAATCTTCCACCACTAATAGTTTGATATGAATGCCAAACTGTATTAGTTCTTTAAAATTCTTTCCCTTTGAAGTTTTAACTTAAATGAAAATGAACTTAAACAGTTGCATTTTCTTTAATCATAGTGGATTGATTTTTCTCGAGCTTTACATCAACACAATTGCAGCAAGTTCCTTACACAGCAGATATCCCGGGAAACTTTTATCCAGGACGAAAGCTTTACGTATCAGGAGTTGTTAAAAAGCGAACCAAACAATTCGTGGTGGATTTTCACTCTGATAACGATATAGCATTCAGATTTAATCCACGAATTGCCGAAAAAGTAAGTTATCATTTGAATAAAACACGAACCAGCAACAGAAATCATACAGTGATTACCAAGAAATTAGGATTATTAATGGAATAAAACATTACATGAAAAGAAAAATTTTAATTGTTGAAAATTGATCAATGAAAGGACAGATTAATCTATGCTATGTTTATATCACTAATAATCTTAAATATTCCACTTTTCAATTGCACTAGGTCTTATGAATCAAAGAAAAAAAAAGTTATTTGATAAATTCGGCAACTTTTCAGAAGTTAATTCGTAATACTCGATCAGAAGAAAGATGGGGAACGGAAGAAAAGGAGATCGAAATACAATTTCCATTCAAAAAGAAGCGAGCATTTGACTTACTGTTTTATTGTGAAGAAAACCGATTTCTTGTTAGTTTATTTTTATTTTTCAGTTTTTAGAAAATAGAATCTTAATTTAATTTGACTTTTGAAATTTATTTTTCACGCTAAAAGTTTAGTAATCCCTTGGTTTCAATGCTACAGTGTCATGTGGATGATTGCCTTATATGTTCATTTACACATCGAATGTCACCCCGAAATATCGATAAACTTTCCATTGATGGTGACATCGAATTACAAGGAGTACACCTCAAGTGAAAGCCAATTTCCTTCTTATTTGAGACATTCACTTTTTTATGTTTTTCAGCACTCTTAAATTTGTTTTTATTTCAATGTTTCATGATAAATTTTTACCTTATGTCTTACTGATCTTGAAAAAGTTACCATGAACAGATTATATGATCTAAAAATAAGAAATAGTTAATACCGTAGTTATTCATGACTTTTCATTTCGTAAATACAGATTTCTAATTTTTCACTATTTTTGCAAAAAATGTTTATTTTACTTATACTTTATCTATCTATCAATCTATATATAGAAAACTTGTAAGTTTATTTCTAATCATTCTCGATATTTCATCATTTTAAAGAATTATATGGCAGTTGTTTAATGTTCTGCGATGTAAGGTAGTCTGTGATGTAAAATGGAAAGCTACAGTACAAACCAACCGCTTTGTAGAAAGCTGGATGGTGGATTACAATATGTATGAAGTTTTATTGGAATCCTTTATTGGAACAAATATTTATTTGACTTATCTATCATCTTACCTTTTTTTTTTCTCTCTCTCTCATCATACATATTATTTGTCAAAAACCTTTACGCTAGCATTACTCTATAGGGTCACGTCACGTCAAATCATCATTCTCAAGTAGTTACGATAGGAAGTGAAGAAAAATAAGTTCAATCGAAGTTTATTTGAGATTTTAGTATTCTGCACACTATATAGTTGAAATAAATATAGCAGTAAGGCAAGAATGGTAAGAAATTCTACATTGTACATAAAATGAAATGAAATAAGAAGATTCATTAACAATTATAATTAGCTGTGATAATTGCAAGTATACATTATTGATGTAAAACAATGCTTTTTTAGGTCAGAACGATGAAAGTTGATTTTGACTGGCTTCTTTTCTTAATTCAGCTACATGAAATGGAAAAATATTATAGTTAATTTTGATGATTTGTAGTTGTAATTAAATTTAAAGACTTTTTAAACTGCAATTGTAATTAAGGTGATTGCAATCATTATAAACCAGCATGATTATGCAGTATTAATAACTAAAATTTCAGTTTTTCGTTAATGTTATTTGAAACAAATGTACATATCAATCACTCTAGTTGAATTGTCTTAACAAATTTGATGATGTCACTAGCAAGAAGTTTCGGCTCTTCGAAAGCAGCAAAATGTCCACCAGCTTTGATTTCCGTATAATTTGTTATGTTGTACATGGTACGCATTAGCTCTTCTGGCTGCTTCATCAGATCTTCCGGGAATGCGGCATAACCGGTTGGAATACTGATGTACCGACTTTAAAATAATAAGCTGATAATTTAACAACAATCAAACATACAGTCAAGACATTTCCCATTAGGATTACTGTCCTAAAACTCATATAGTTTCAAAATTTTAGCATATAATTGATCAAATGAAAGATGTTTTAACTACCAATAAGCACTTAGTACCAAAAGTAGTTTACAGTCTAGCAAATGAAATGAATTTAAAAAGGCAACTTACTTGAATTTATTAAAAATGGGTGTATTCTGGAAATATTCCTTGTAAAGCCTTATGGCATTTATTATATTATTATTGAACCAATAAATGGATACTATGGTCAACAATTCATCCAATGTAAACTTTCTGGAATGTGTAGAAATTGTAAACTTTCATTTGGTTAAAAAAAATTGCTATTGCAAAACTTCTAAAATTGCATATTTCTTTGTTTTCAAAAAATTTTATCAGTGATTACAATTAATTACTTTGTGAGACCACCGTCATGAAGTGACCGATAAGTAGTGTTTGTTCCGTATGAAAACTTTTCCAGGATATAAGCTGCCAAACCTATTGGAGAATCGTTAAGTGCTGCACCTAAAATACTACTGAAATAGGAGAAGTTTAGAAACTAAGGCGAAATAACCAATTACTGAAGTTTTTGATGCAGTTTTAACTCCCAGAATTATTTATTCCCAATCTAGTTTCATCGGATTCCTTAATTCAGACTTATTTGTATAATTATAACTAAATGTAACCTTGAATTGGAGGAAGCAAATAACAATAAGGCAGTATGCAGTTATTAGTGAGAACTAAGAAATGCAAAATTATCACCAATAGTATCCGGTTTTGTCGCCTGGATGTGCATATATCCCGTTTCTTCAAGCATATCCTTAAGGAAAGCGCCTGTAGCCCGTTGATGAAATGTTTGAGAAGAATAAGCTAATCTTGGTGTTATAGTGCCAAATGCTGTGTACAACAGCGCCTTCCAATTAAATACTAACGCCATGTTCAAATGCAAACCAATAACACTACAATGTTGCACCGAAGTAATTGGCATTAGAGATTTCTCCAGGATTGACATTTGAAAAAAAAATTTAGAATTCAGTAAGAGAAAATGAAATCGAGACTGGCATCACATACATCTCATAATGTTTCATTTATAGCTCATATTTGATTTGATTTAATTTAACAGATCTAATAATTATCACTAGAGATTGGGAATTTCGTCTGCAATACATGGAAAATAGGAAAGTTGCAGTATAACTATCACATTCCAAACGTATCTTTGCAGCCATCCGAGATGATAGAATTTTTTTATTAAGAAAAGAAATCAATTTTTTTTCTAAAAAAAATTAATTTTATTTTATTAAACTTTCTTTCTTTCTTTTTTACTTTGATCTCTTCTAAAAAAGAAAAGAAAAACCTGACTTTTCAGGATAATAAAAGGCGATGTTTGTAGCTATATTACTTCCCCAATCTCCACCTTGCAGTAAATATCTTGAGAAGCCTAAACGAATCATCAGTTTATTGAATATTCTTGCTGCCACTTCTGTATTGAATCCTGTAAAACTTGAAATCTATTTCTAGCAAAAGTAATATGTACTTCCGATACAATTTGCTAAATTTGTTTGAAGACAGTGTACATTAACAGAAAACTGATGGATTGAAAATATTGGTCTATAAAATTAACTGATTTATTCATGAGGTATTTATTGGTGAAGCGAAGCTTATGAAGTGCTAGAAGTACAAAACACTAATGATTAGAATTAAATGTAAATAGCTTGAAAGATAAACGTCTGACCAGACTGAATTTGGTGTACAATTTTTACAGGTATTTCACGTTTCAATAAAACTGCTAAGGAACAAAACAAATCGGACTAGTTTATTCAATTTATTCAATACAGTGTTTTTTTTTTTGCTTCAAAAGTGGAAGTAATATTTAAAAAAGTGAAAGTAACTTTCTTAATATTTCATTAATCTTTCATCTCACCTTTTTTTATTGGTGCAGCAGACCAACCGAATCCGGGGATTGATGGTGCAATTATTTCAAAGGTTATACTAATATCAGAACCAATCTGCTGAATTGGATCCACCAGCAGAGGAATGATTTTAAGAAATTCGAACACATTTCCGGGCCAACCATGCAGTATGAGCAGTGGAACGATAACTTCGTAATTATTATGCATCGGTTTAGCATGAATGAAATGGATCTATAAAACAGATTAAATAGCACAATTATATTTGTCTTTATCAACAAAAATTAAATTACTTGATTGATTTGAAAACCTAAATATAAATGATAGGATATAAAATAATAAGGGAAAAGAAAAAGATGCAATAAAAAGCTCATTTCTGACTAGAAAAGACTTGCCTTAAGGCCTTCAATTTCAGTAGTGAATTGAGGTAAAGTATTTATAATGCCTTCATGATATTTCCAATTATATTTGTTAAGCCAATAATTAGCCACATATTTGAGATATTTACTGTTAAAACCGTATGAGAAATCATTGCAATCTTCTAGTGGCTCATAATTAATTCGGGCATTTTTTAAGCGGAATTTCAAATCCTATAATTCAGTTTATTTTTAGACTTAGCAGTGAAGTTAACGCAAGAACCATGGAAACATTGTATCATCATCATTCCACATATGCTTCATTAATTTCAAGTTAACAAATTAATGAAGAAAACAAGCTACCTGTATAGCTTCCTCGGGAACACTTATTTTAAAAGGTGTAATGCGCTCATCATCTTTTCGTTTCTTTCCACGACCAAACCACCCATCGATAGCTATATTATGCTAGAAATTTTGTATTTAAATCTGTTTACTTAGACTCAAATCACTAATTATCATTTCATCAAGTTTGCTCACTTTAAACTAATCAACTAATCAAGGTAAAGTTTGCTAACAGTATCTGTCATTTCAAAGCTCGAAATAATTTGAAGAAAAAAAAAGAATGACTCACTGAATGAGAAGCGCTAAAGTCCTTTTTAACTGCGTAAATAGCATAAGTAATGATTGCAACAGATACAGCCAAAATTAATTGCAATGAATAATTGCTCATTACTAAAGGAATAAATAAGTTGAAATAAACGCAATAATATCAATTCGCTGTTAAAAAAATTCAGTACAAATGGAATGTCCAATTCATTCCCAACATATTATCTATTTCCTTTCACTTCCAAACCTTTAGTGGTCTTTTGGCCTATGCCAAGGTTGCCAACATTTTGGATTTCAATCATATCTGCGTATTATAACTGCCTTCAATGCTTCAATTATTTTATCTTATAGATAAAATGTCATTTGCGTAATAAAAACTTAAATTACTAAAGTTTATTTCTAATTCAAATTTATAATGAACTAAAAATTTGTGATTTAGTTCGCAAAAGTAGTTGTTTATTTCTAAATAATAAAAATCAACTCATCAACAAACAAATTTACTCACTGAACATAAACAAATGAAATTTTAATTAAAATTCGAACAGTACTTTGCTGCTGTCGTTTCATTTTACAATTTGCCAATGTCAAAAGTTATCCAATTGGGGTGGGGGGGAATTGAAGGTCACAACATTCGAGTTATGACTGCTAACTAGTGAAATCAATAGAACTAAGGAAGGGAACGCTGTGTTGTTGATGATAAGAAAATGATGTTAGGAGTGAGAACAATTTGTAGTAATACTCGATGTATAGCTATCGATCATGGATCACAAATCTAAAGTTCGCTCCAAATTTTATATTATTTCAACACTCGTTCGTCCAATCTCAAACAAAGTGATCAAAATTAAATACCCAACAAATTTTTCAACTTCAAATGATATTTGAAGTTGAAAAACTTGCCAATTTATGTTTGATTACCACAAAAATTAATTCTAAATTCGAATTCTAGAGCCTCGCAAAATACACTGTTCAAGATTGAATGATTAGCGAATGAAAATGCAAAAAGAAACACATGAGAATTATTAAAATGTTAAACATTCTTGAAGTACTAATTTGTTTATGACATTTTGTTGACAAAAATAAAAATTTAACTAAACGGAAAATTTTTTTTTTTTTATATTTTCCAACGCTACTTGCAACTGTTGTACAATTTTCAGTAGTTTACAGCACAATTCTTTTTCTTTTTTTCCATTTAACACTTATAAATATAAGTCATTTGTCGCAGCAAAAAGTAATTTAAATTACCATTGGATTCCGAAGATTTTAAAATATTTTGATAAAAAGAAAGATTAGAATAAAATCAAGCAACTAAGCTACATATACGCACATTGCCTAGACTTGTTAGGACATAGTCATTGGCTGTTAGGGAAATCTGGATGAGACTAGGTTATTCCCGATGCATTCCGGATCGCGTGCCTTCCGGAAAGAGTACAAGAAAATGTTATCAAGAAGCTGAAGTGTTCGTAGAGCAAATATAACCGACATTCGTGTGTATCCCTAAGTGCTTGCTCATAGATCTTCCTTTGTGCAGGAATGTGAAATGTTTTTAGTAAGTGTACTTTCCCTGATCATAGAACGAACATTCATTTACCGAATTTCATGAGAATCAAAAAAAGAGCATTGTAGGCGGAAAGTTGAGAAGGTAACAAGGAATTTACAGGTAAAAAGAGTTATCAATCAATAATAGGAGAGGAATGAGAATTAACCGATCTATCTAAAATATTTTCTAAATGCTTTTGAATTTACCGCACTTCCGCGTAATCTTTACTTTTGCATTTCGGTCCAGCAAAGATTATTTGTGGGAAATATTTGTGCTGAGAATTGTTAATGTTCGAGTAATTATAATCATTGGTGCTGTCTATAGGAAGGAAATGAATGAGAATAGGATATGCATACAATAATAAAAAGGAATTTAATACTGTGCTGACAGATGAAATCTAGGTTCAATCACGAGGATTATTATAGTTATTCAGTTTTGAAAGGACTGAATAGCTCAGATTGTAAAAGTGAACTTTTTTTTTTTTTTTTTTGGAATATGTTTGAAGTATTACTGTATCAGATGATAGAACAATTTCTTTTCTACTTTTTTAAAACATCTATGCAATCTTATTTTTAAAAAAATCGGTAGTAAGAGTGATTGCAATAATTAAAAAGAAATAATTAAAATTTAATATGTCATAAATGTTTACAGAGTTTGCTTAAAAACAGCATTCCTAACTATATTTCAGTTAGAAATGTTATAAATTAACTGTCTGATGCTAAAAATATGACAAAATGGGTGATAATTTCGGTATCGTTCAGCACAGAACAAAATTTATCTTATTTATTTTCTGGAAAATTGAGTATAGCACAAATTTCAAAAATCGAAAATCAGAAAAAGTCAAACATTTACAAAACAAAATTCTCACTGAAAAAAGCATAAAAGCAAAAAGTTTTGGTTATCTAGTTATGGTACATAACAGCTGACACATCTCAATTCTAAGACTTATTTGTACAGCTTTATCACTGACTTCAGACTAACTTCTACTGATCAACTTCGATGGTCTAAAAGCATATCTCAAACATTAATGGAAACAGTTCACAAGTTGATAATAACCGCTAAAAAAAGGATATCGTGGTGCAAATGTTTCGAAAGGGTGACTAATTCCTGAATAATGCTCCAAGTTTAAAAATGGACTGATATAAGCAATTTACCAACCCTAACTGTAATCATTCTGAATGGTAAAACAAGTGCGACAATAATGAAAACAGCTGGATGAAGAAATACCATACCTGCTGAATTAGAAAAAACTGAGCATTAAATAAAATCACAACTTAGACTTTTGATTGAGTTGGACGTCCATCATCTCGACGTTTACGCTTTAATGGTTGTTCGTTAATTTCATCGATTAAACTCCTTTCATCCATCTGCAAAGACAACTTTCAAAGACCAGTACTTAATTATATTAGTGGTTACAAAACACCACACAAATCATTTCTATTTCAAAATACTTTACTAACCCTCTGCTAATAAACTTTATTAGCGTTAAAAAAAGAAGAAAAAGAAAAGAAAAGAAAAAAAAAACTTGCGACTCAGACGCCAAGAGTTAGTTATTTTTTTTAAAAAAAGATATACAGTAAAAGTGTAGTTTGAAAAAGTTTCAATAAAGATAAAAAAAGAAAGCATATGAACTTTGAGAAGATTCACCTCATGTTTGTTCAGATATTTTCTATTTCCTTTTGCTTTTGCGCTAAACCTGAAATTCAAAATCTTACTAAGTATGGAAACGAATATGACTGAGAAATCATTACATATGCATAATTCAAAACAATTAAACGTACACTGATGCAGCTAATTCATAATCCGTAATGTCCTGTCCAATATCAAAATTGACTTCATCAGACACTTTGCAGCCTTTTATATCCTCATAATATTTCATAAGCTTCTAAAAATATTGAAAACTACAACCATCCACTGTTCTGTTAATTCATAGCAGAAAGATGAAATACATTCAAGGAGTTATATTCTATCAAGTGTCAAATCATTTCCGAGACAGAATTTTAAAAGACTTCAATCAAACCGAACGGTTTCCAGTAATCTTGAAAGGTCAGAAATTCAGTATTGCATGAAAAAATACCTCAACTTCGGGATTGAAACCTTTAAAAGACATTCGTCCAAATGAAAGGTTTTCCAATAACTCATACCTATTTTCGGATTTCACAGTTCTAAAATGAAACTTCAACAATTTTTAAGCGAAAAAGTGCGAGTTCAAGTAAAAAGGCAGACTTTCAGTTGTATTATCGAAAACTAAAAGGAGTCTAAAGATAACTAATGCATATCAGTGTTTTGTAAGAAATTCTTTAGCACTTGCAGAGAAGTTTCAAATTTCTAAAAACTGCAGATATATTATTCTAAAGCAACATGAACAGTGCAATTTTTAATTTTGACGTTAAATTTTGAAACTTACGGCTCTACTGCTTCTGGTCCTTTTGATAATTTTTTGTCATCCTTCTTTAAAAAACGTTTCTGCAATTTTTGTTCGCTTTTTCTTTTGGCTTCTTCCTCTAAACGAATCCTTGTCCTTTGCATAAACTGTAAACAAATTTCATAGCCACTGTCCTTTGCACGGTTATAAATAAGACTTCACTATCTTTCACGTAAACTAAAAAAAAAAAAAAAAACTAAAAAATCACTTAGAACTGTTGATGTGAATATAATATAAAGATAATTAATTCATGACGAGAGGACAAAAAAAAAAAAAAAAAAGAAGAAAAGAAAGATGGAAGAAGAAAGAGAAAAAATCTGAGGAAGGTATTAAAATCCAAATTTAACTTCACAAATTTCTATTAAATTGAAGCTGAAGTTGAAATCTTTGAAACTGGAAATATGCCGTAAAGCTTTTGGACGACACAGTTATACGATTGTTCCTTACGCTTTCAGAAATAAAATAAACTTCGTATATGAATCCCATAACGAGAATTAACTTAATGTAGTTAATCAAACGGTCAAGCAGCTATAAGGAGATAAAATAAACGCTACACAATCAGCAATATTATTTCCACTTATAGAAATTTCTAAAAAGCAACAAACCTTCATCTGCAGAAGCGCTGATGATAATCCTTTAGTATCGACGTGCTCAGTCATCTCTTAACTAAAGGTGGAATCGAAGTCGTTAGAATGGAAATAACGAATTAGTTTACTGGCATTGATGTCTCGTTATTTCACGTTCTTTTGCTCTTTCTGAGAGATAATTCAACGTGAAAATAATGCTATATGCATATGAACGAATAGAAATTGTTATGAAAGAAACAAGACACATACTTCCGCATCACTTGAGTACATTTTCAAATTAAATCGCGTTATGTCCGCATGAATATATCTTACCAAACATTATGAGTTTATCTGTCGAAGGGACCATCATCTCATTTAAAAGATATAAATAAGATGCACTATTTATTTAAAAATATTAAATTATTGATGAAATTGTCACGTGACAAGATATGAAGGGAAGGTTGAAGAATGAACACGGTATTGCTAGAGACCTGGAACGCAGGTGGTTATGCACGGAAGACAGATCGGCCGAATGACACATCAAAACAGTCTTAGTGGTACATATGTCTTTACGTTTTACGTTTGTCGCAACTTGAATGCTAACCTGACAGATGTACATTTCATTATTTAAATTAGGCATCTGTGTATGAGTGACCCAAGGAGTTCATCAGAGCTAGGTGAAGATGAGTGGTGTGATCTGTAAGTGTCAAATTACTACATGCATTCACTGGCTTCCACTAAGAATCTCCAAGATCAAAAAAAAAGTGCAGAGAAAGTGGGATTCTTGAATATAACACGCGGAATGAGTTTTCAGAATTCAGTTATTTTTTCTCGAATCATTTCAGAATACTTCTTACAGAGCATTGTACTGCGTTATTGTTCCACACATGGATTCCGGGATTCTGGAATGATGTTTATTAAAGTGTTCCATTTGCATAGAGAGAATTGCTTTATTAGGGATAAAAAATTGAAGTTTAAATTGAAATTTTATTTGATATGCTGACTTTATCTGTTGCATACAATGCTTTATTTGACAGAATAGGAAATGTAGCAATAATTGAACTAAATTTACATCCTTTTTCATGCAACTATGAAAACTCTGACTTAATTCTTTTTACCATTGGCCTCAAAACGAGCTTAAGCCTGAGCTTGAGTATGATGAGTCTGCGCATTCTTGATTATATTAAATGTTAGTGACGTTCACCATCGTAGTATTTACGGAAGAGTTCGTAAATGCCTGAAATAAATGGAAGTAAGAAAAGACATTTAGATATTGCATCTCTTTTTTAGATTATATGTTGCAAATGCTTCAAAAAAAAAAAAAAAAAAAAAGGAGAAACTGACCTTACAATATAGAATGGAATTGAGGACCCGATAAATTGAGATATAAAAAGTAATTCGCAAGATAAATTTAAATAAATAAGAGTAAGTTACGCAAAATCATAATCGTCTGTCTTTTGTAAGGTATATTTTACTGAACAATAAAGTGCGATTACATAATGAAAAAAAATATTAATTTAAACCGTGATTAATTAATGGATTATTTAGTCTCAATCAGCATTAAGGTAATATGGTAAAGCAACAAACCTCATAGTAGCCTAGCCTAGCTAACTGAAAAAGGGCTACTCCACATAAAAATAAATTGACGCTTGCTAGATTATAGTTGATAGGCGTAATAGCGAAGCTGTATCGTGTCCAAATGCCTCCCGTGAAAAAAAGTGCCATATTCTTTAAATATAACTTAGATGTTTCTTTTTATTTTCAAATTAAGACATGTTCACCATTCAAGCACTATAAAAATTTAGACTTCTGGACTTATCTGTTGCTTTCACAGGTCTGGAGTGTTGTTATTGTTGTTTTCTACTATTTGAACTACTTTAAGTGATAACACGAAAAACAAATTGAGTGATTACCTGAAAAAAACTAAGTTTTTCCGCTGGTCGCATCAGATCAGATAAACCAGCTAGCACTAGACACCATTTTATCGTTGGTCCCCAAAAAAAGACTGTTTTGGGACCAGCTGGATGATCCCAAGTTTTTTTAATGAAATCGGGTAGGATGGGATAAATTGCCTGCAATATGTTGGGCAAATGAACAAAGAATTAATCACTGAAAATAATGGAAATAGTTAAGACAGAAATATTTTTTATTATTAATTTTAGCAGTGTTATATCTGATATGTAATATTTCGAAGTACTGTACTGCAGTCTGTCTTTATTATGCTATATTATGCAGCAAGATTATTTCACCTTCAATTTCTACATTCTTTACAATTTGAAATTTTGAATCTTGAAAAGATTCAAAACAAAATTCTGAAATAAAGTTATAATTTGAGGAGGAAAAAAGTACACTTACCTTATCAGCAGCATTACAAAATGCATCACATATGCAAGACATAATTCTGAATATCCTTTTCAATGAATGTACTAATAATTTAAACTAGATGATAACAATCAACACCAGTGTCACAAAATTAAGAAGTCATCAGTGACAAAATATGCTGCTATAGTATTTAATGCTATTTACAAACCATCAGTTCCACCGTAGTTTCTAAATAGAAAAAATAAAAGTAAATGTAATCTCAATCAAGAAATGAACGAAATTGCATATGAGAGAAATGAAAATAACAGGAATGAACGAATTAAAAATAATTTCAACACCAAAAAAGAGGTAAATTGAACACAAGGATGATGGAAGTTTGATAAATGAACAGTATAGAACAAATGATGGGAAATTTTAAACAAAATTCGAAAACAAAGTTTAAATTGTTTTGGGGTACTGATACACAACATTCAATAATAATTGTTGGTTACTTCGGTTTCTTAAAAAAAGAAAACAAAAGAGAAAAAAAGGAAGCAAATTGTAATCTCAAAAAATTTGGTTACTTTGATTTATAACTAGCAAAGCGAAACTAAAATATACGACAATAGCATACGATAAATAAGAAAAAAAAAAACCTTTTGCTATAGTATTATGTAAGTCATACTTTTTGGCCTCTTATGATATGAGAAACTTTAATACTATTTTATTTCATACTATGTGTCGAGAAATTCAACAGCGAATCCTTGTTTTGTTTTGTTTTTTCACTTTATTAACTATAGCGGTAAGCAAAAGTGTAAACTCTTGTTTTTTAGATCTTCATTCAATTCATTAATGGCCATAGATCTAAAATTTTAGAGAATATTTAAGATGGACTAGTTTCAAAAGTTTATTTCACTTATGAATCATGCACTAACTAGCTGAATAAAGAAATGTTTACCAAACTTTTAATAATATTTTTTAATCCTTGCTAAAACTCTAATACTTCTCGTTGAATTTTTTGTGAGATAAAGAATCTCAAAACTTCAAAGTTCATAAATTTCAATGAAATACTACAGAACGAGCTGGAATGATCTATATGAAAAATAATCGAAATGAGAATAAGGAAAATTTAAATATTTTTGGTAAGATTAGAATAAGGTTCAGTATATTACGAAGAGGCAGTATTTCAGTAAGAATTTAAAAAAGGGCCAGAAAATTTGTGGAATGGATCAGATCGCGGGGAGGGAGGGGAAAGGGGAGGGGGAAGGGCATAAAGTCAATTAATAACCAAAGGAATTTAAATTGGAAAGGAACATTCATAGTTCAAATATGTAGTATTTTCGTTTTATCAACTTGAACGTTATATGTTGTCATTTTATATTTTCTACTGAAAACATTTTGAATTTCAAGGCTATCTATTTCAAAATATTCAAATTAATCATTGTTACAGCTAGAAATTATCACATCTGCTCTTTCTTTTTCCCTCTCTTTAGATTATCGCTATGCGATGATAAGATAAGATAAGGTTCATGAAAAGTATGAAAGTGAAGCTGAATAAATGGAAAAAGATCGAAAGTGAAGAAGCCAAGAGAAGAAAGAAAAGGTTATAGGGATGAGAAAAGTATAGAAAGTGGTTCATAAAACATCTCTAACAAAGTTATTTTCGAAATTTATATGTCAAATTTAATGAACTCAGCTAGAATTTGTATACTTGTTTACCACTCAAAGATTCATTATCAGTTTTTCGATTCCTTGTTTGTGGTGAGGAGACATGCAAGAGAAGATCAATTTGAAAAATATAACGAAATCATAACAGCGGGAGAAATTTCTTAAATAAAAATTTATAAAAATTTAGCAAGAATTCTGAAGGAGCATTTAGAAATAAAATGAGTAGGAACGATCAATACAAAAATGAAATGAAATATAGTGGTAATACTACAAAAATCATACGCAAAAAAAAAAAAAAAAAAAAATGAATTTTGCTTGTTTTTTAATTTGAAATTTCTTAATTTAGAAATTTTTAGATAAATAGCAACAGGTATCATGAAATAATAAAAGTAACAGTAAGAGCATATTTATATGTCCGTAAAATAATTTATTCGCAAATGATGATCACAACTGTTAAACCTTCTCAGATACATTTCTTTTTACAAATGGTACAGTGAAACTAAATGATTTATTCATTCAAAGTTCTTAAAACTTCCAAAGTGAAAGTGCATACGTCATATCACGTGGAATGAAGAAGTTTCCAGTACGAAGCCTGATATATCGTTATGTTACTGATATATGCTGTTTGATCGATTTACTTTTTGTAATTAGTACTGTGGAATCACTGCTCATCAAAGTACAGTGTGCTCAGATTGGTGTCACCGAATTATTGATTGCCATTTTGGCTGAGAATTTTCTTTATTTTTATTTTTGAATATTTACCAGAGCTTTTGTTAAGATTAGAACAATTTCAAATTGTTATATGGGATTATTTGGCTTTCTATTCTTTTCATTTTATAAACAGACAAATATGCCTTTTTAAAACATTATTTCATTAATATAAAATGTGTTTTAATTAAATTAGTTAGTAAACTTTGTATTGTAAAGTTTCGAGTTACAAATTCAAATTAATCATTTACTGAGTTAGCGAGGACTAATCAGGGCTAAGTTAATAAACCAAACATATTAAGGCTTGACCAATAGGAAAAAACATTGCATTTCAAGATGGGTTTTTGACTCAAAGTCAGGCGCATCAATGAAATAAGCGCTTTTGATAGTTGTTGTAGAGAAGCAACCAGGCTATTTTAGTTTTGGTTTAAGATTCATCAAATCGCTCTCTCATTTAAAACTTTTTAAACCAATAAATATTCAAAAGTTCGAGTCAAATATGAACGAAAGCTTTTATTGTTGTTAGTTTTAAACGAATTTATCTTTTGTTTTTTAATTAATGGACAAAAAGATTAAAAAACTTCATTTCATTATAAGTTAAGGAACGTATATAAACGGATATGAAGCAGAACGAAATTAAATCAAGTTAAACAAAACCGGAACCGGAACAATTCTGCAAAGCGCACAACCAATTCTACATGTTTTAGTATGAAATTGAAGAAAACGAAACAAAAAACAAATAAACTGCACGAATATTGCATCATTTACAAATAGTAACCGTTAAATTTCAGTTCAGTAACCGGAAAAAATGGTAAGTTAATAAGTTCAACAACCGGAAATGATAGGTCGAATGTTCAAGTGAAATTTTTTTCTCCGTTGAACAGTGGAAATTTGTTATCTACGATGAATTGAAAATGTAAACAAAAGAAAACTACAAAGTTTGCAAAAAAACATTATGAGCTAAATATCAAATTAATAAACTTCAATGAATGTATGATACAATTATATAAACTGATTGGAATTTCAGTTCAAAAATTAAAATTGCAATGCTTTCAAAAAAGAATAAGCTACTAGAAATTATTTAAAACATAATAAGACAAAAATTTCAAAAAGATTTTCAAAAAATCCTGACAAACTGCGAAGCTGCATTTTCTTTCTCTGTTACATTTCTTTTCCGTTGTTCCTATATTAGAATTTCTTGCATTTCTAATTTTGCTCTTTTGTTTTTGAAGTAATTTGTAAAAAATAGTAATAATAATAACAACAAGAAACTGTGCCATTTATTTTCTTTTTTTTTTTTTTTTCATTGAAAATGAAGACTGAACAATAAATGGCCAAGAAATAAAATAGATGGTTTATTGATAAGAAAAGTGAATAATGCAGAATTTGGTCACAATAAAGAAGTTTCAAATTTTAAAATGAAATGGTACAATGTTTAATGACAGAATTCTTGAAAATGCAAACAGAGGTCAAAAGAAAAGATTGAATAAATTCTGATATCTTAACCTGTCTTCTTTTTTTCACCGATTAGTTAATAGAAAAACCATAAGAAATAAATCAAGAAATGTATCACTAATATAAAATTTATATAAAATAACTATTACTGCAATAATGACATACCCTGCTCAAATAAACTATCTCTAAATTTTGAAGCTAATCAGTATTCTATGGCTGAATTCGTCCTGATAATAACTGTTTTTGTGACATCTGAAATACTTACAGCAAAGTTGATGAAATGAACATTTTATTTAAAAAAAATTAGGTTAACTCTTCCGTAATAATATCGAGTAGACAGCGAATGTCAATGAATGTTCAAGTGAAATTTTCTTCTCGTTGAACAGTGGAAAGTAATAATCGTAATAGTTGTAGTAATCTGTCTCTTATTTTTGTTATGTTTGAATTCATAAAAATTGGAAAAGGTTACTAATTGAACTATGTTTGAAAGCAATGACTTAAATGTAAGTTAATTTAGCACACTAAAATTTTGTAGTTACAGTTCAACATGCTATGAAAATTTACGCAATTTTCATGTGTGCGTTCGGTTCTCTACTCCTCAAATAAAAAAAAAAGTCCGCCTAACTGAGTAAAGAGATGTGGAAAGTTTTTAAAACAAACTTCGTATTTGAATTTTCTCGACAATTGATATAAACCGATAGTACTGACAAAGAAATTAACACTTGCTAAATTGTAATTAATTGGTCGGATAGCGAAACTATAGCGCGTCCATATTAGTCCAGTGAAAAATAATGCCATATTCTGCAACGCAGACTATACATTTGACAAAAATTTAGATGGAATAATTAAAACTGTTTAGGAATGTTGTATCATTATTTAAACATCAAGACATGCCGGACATCAACCGGATATTAGCATGCAAATATGCGAGTATGATCGATGATCTACAAGTTTATTTGCAGCTTCAATTAATCGTTATAGCAACTAAACATTTTTTGCTGTTGCATTTTATTTCATTAGAAATAAATGAGCTTTTTATTAATTTTTAATTATTTTCAACTCTTTCGGAAGAAAAATAACTAGTCACAAATGAACGTAACTAATTTTCTGCCTTTAAAACTGATATAAAATAAAACAAACAAAGTTATCAGCAGATCGACATGCCAACATAACACCTTCGAACTTTGGACGAATGAAACAGAGAAGTAAGAGGAATTTATAAGTAAGAGAATAGGAAAGAGTAAACCTGAGAAGTGCTAAGTTTCTCTGCAGGTCTTCTCAAATCAGCAACACCGGCTATCACCAAACACCATTTAATGGTTGGTGCCCAAAAGAATATCGTTTTAGGCCCTGCTTCATGATTCCACAAGCCTTTGGCAAACGATGGCAACCATGGATAAAGAATCTGTAATAATGCAAGTGTTTTGCTTTTGCAAGGAATTCATTTTTAATTAAACATAAAAAATTTGTAAACTATTTGCCACTGGCTGCTATCAACAATGATAGTAAAAGTTTCTCTGATAATAGGGCAATTAACTCCCTAAGGAGATGAGACTTGCAATGAAGTACAAAGCAACTTAAAAAAAAGCTCACTGTGAGAAGCCAAATACAACTTTTTTCAGATCATTTTATGGTGTAAACTATAAGCAGCAGTAAATTTAGATAAAATGAAATAAATCTTCTTGATCCCACCATTACAATTTATATTTATGTGTCTATGGAACTTAATTTCTCCATTTTTTCACAAATTGGATTAACGGTTTTTTATTAGGAATTCAATAATGAAATATGCAAAATGTTCAACGCTTTTTCATCGATCCATCCAATAGAATAGATGACTTTCTAGTATGTATCTATTCATTATAAATAATTAAATTTAATTTACAACCTTATCACCAGTTTGACACAAAACTCGATAGAATGAGGAAAACATGCCCGCTCGCTTGAAGATCCCTCAGTCAATACTGAATCAATCTGAAAAATTAATTTTCAATGAAATGAAAAGCGAATTACATAGAGATTGATTTAGATATACGTGCGTAAACAACATCTGAGCAAATTCTGATAGCAATAATAGAATTTAGTATAAACTAAAAACTCTTTTCACAGCTTATGTCAGCGTATCTCATTTTACACTTCCCAATTTTTAAAATCAAAACAAAAACTTCTAGGAGAAAATGAATTTTTTGTTTTCATTCTAGTGAAAATGAAGTAATTGTTTTCAGCATAGTTTGAAAATATTATTTTGAAACGAGCGACTGAATGATGCTTTAAGCAAATGAAATGATATTTGGTTTGGTTGTAGAAAATACTTCGAGCATAATGGATTTGGCATCACTTAGTTTGGATTCATTTAACTACCAGTTCTTAAATTACATAGAATTAACCAAATATTTGTATCGAAAATAGAGAAATCGAATTAAATAACATTAATGGAGTTAACTTAATATTTTCATTAATGTTATTAATAATTTTTTATAATTGTCTTTCTAATTAAAATACAATATCAATTTGAGCAGCAAAAAAATCATAAAATGTAAAGAAAAGATTAAATTTAGCGAAACTTAATTTAAAACATTCGAAATAAATTGCAATAATTCATTTTGGAACAGTTATACATGGCACAAAGTTCGAAATCATATAGGGTAAAATCAACTGTGAGTTGTTGAAGAGACAGAGCCATCTTCTGTTTATTTGACTGGCGTTTGTTGGCAAAACACGCTTTTCGTTCTTAGCACCAATTACACTCCAAAATGCAGAGAGAGATAATTTAATGGATCAAAGAACATTTTAGGAAATCCCATGTTTTTCTTTTCCCTTTGAAAAGAATTTTAAAAAACTTGGTAAAAATACTTCTGAGGAAATTTGATGGAATTAATTGGAATTAAAGCATTAAGTTAAAATTATAAAGTCATAGATAAGAAATGTGGAAAATGCTTAACCGTAAACACAAGGATGCTATTTCAAATTATAAGTGTATTAGTTTGTTCTACTAGCATATTTGTAGTATCACAAGCCTACGTAACGTAACACTGGTTTAGATAAATTTGCTACTTTCATTCCAAAGAAATGCTTGAAGTTTGAAAGAGAACAGTTACTTAAGGTTGCAGCAACTGATAGATATTTTAACTTGATGTGCCTTATATTACATATGAAAATATGTCTCTGAGAATCTATTAATTTATATAGCTATTCATTAAAGTCTAATTAACAAGTACTAGTCCAGCTAATATGTCAGGAGTTATATAAACAATGTCTCATTTATTATACCAATCCAGTTTTTGAGCTGGCAGCAGTATGGTATGTCTTAACAATTGTAATGAGGACAGACAATAGAACGACACTTTCTTGAATGTTAAACAAAATTTCTAAACTGTATTTCCAAGAATTGAAAAGGAAAAAAAAAAACTTGACAATATATCAAAATTCGCTCGTAACAATTCAATACCGTTAGCCACAATTATTAGGACATCGATCTAACAACGTAGATCAGAGACAAATAAGGAGAAGTGGCTTTTAGAATCCTTGTGATTTGAAACACTGAAAATTTGTCAAGCAGCAGATTTGTCTGCTAAAAATATCAATTGTATGTTTAAGATTGCAGTAGCTAAATGGAATTAGGCTGTGGCGTTTATAAACTGAAGATTTTCAAGAAATAGCATTGAAAATAACGTCAAATATTTGTTATTTATTAACCATACCAAAGATTAAGAATACTTCATAGAAAGTGGCGCAAACTTCAACCAAACAAACTAGGAATTTATTAAATTTTAATTTTCAACAGTTTGGAGAATCTTCTCATGTATCTTCAGATCCAAGGCAAAATTATACTCGTACGTGATTGTCTTCTTGTCACTAATGACATAAACGGACAGGGTTGAAAGACATAAATTGTTTATCATGTTCATTCAGTATCTTTTTAAAGTACTTTACTAACTCTACTTCATTTTCAAAAAGACTAAGAACTCGACAGAATGCAAATTTTACTTTTCGTTGGAAAATTATAAACCGAGAAATGATATAAAAAGAACAAAAATAACAACCCAACAGAATAGTGGAGAAATTAAACTCATTGTTTGTCTTCATTTGGATTCACGTTACGGCACATAATAGATAATGGAAATTGTTTACATATTTTACATGCTTTATAATCGAGAGTAAAAATCATTCGGCTTTCCAAAATTCATATTTGCGTTACCTCGCTTCTGCTTTGTAATTTTTTAAAAAGCAAATAAATGCATCCTACCAATGCTGAACCGTGAGATAGAAGAAATATGGATTCTTCTGAAAATAGAACTTCTGTCGAGCAATTTACCGCCGCCATAATCCATTAAACTATATCAGTGACAATATTCTTTTTGCAAAATCCCGATCTTATAAAATTTTCAACGAAATCCTACTATTGCTAGCAGGAAGCATCCTTGTTTGCCAGTAGGTTAATGATGCTTGTTAAACATTTAGTACTGAAAAACACACACAAAAAAAAAAAAAAAATTCCCCAAACTCTGGTCTATTTGGATGCGCTAGAAATTCAACAACATCAGAAACCAGTCTAAAAAAGGATCCGGTATTGAGGATGAAAAGTTCACATCAAATTAAAAAATTCATTTTATACACATATAGAAGAGCACTAGAAAGAACAAAAACGAAAACAACATATATATATATATATATATATATATATATATATATATCAGAAAGAATTAGATTCTAAAGTAAAACAGATATTCCGATTAAAAAGATAAAACAACGAAAATACAATATTATGAATGAGACTGATAAATTCAAATCAAATGTTCATTAAATTAGGAAGGAAACATCAATGACTAACAGCAAGAGGAAAGAAATAAAACACACCACAGAATATGCTGAATTTATGACAATATGATAAAATATGCTTTGATAAAAGTTGCTTTAGCACAACGACAGTCAAACTGGGCTGCCTTAGTTTAAAATCACAACTCATTTCACAAGATTACAATTATGTACATGGACGTACAAAAATAAAGCAAGAAATGCAAGGTGCAACCCAACTATACGAAAATTACACAATAAAATTTTCTCCCCTTTTCAGTTCTACTCTCAGAACATGTTAAAATTTATTTTCGAAAATACTTTCGAGTAGTATGTTAAAAAAAATATTTCTACACCTCTTCAGGGAAATATTTTGAAGGAAATATTCGAAACAAAAAATGACTAGAAACTTAAATTCAATTGGACATTTCTTTTTGATTCATACAGAAGGATTACACAACATATAATGGAGTCTGCACGACTAAATTTCAGCAGCAACTGTTCGAACCTCCTAGTGCCTGATTACTACCAGGAGAATTGGGTGAACTTGGAGAATGCTGTGGTCCAAGTTTAATTCCATTTGCCTGCAACATACTCCAGAATTAAAATGAACATACTGCAAACACATGAGATGAACTGAGAACGACAGAAAATTGCTGCATTTCACGAACAAAAGCAATAACGGAATCAGACTGACAGTCATTTTTATATGAAGCAGTATGAACTCGTAGCCTGTATACCCCCTAGCTTACATTGTGTACCCTTTCCCCAGCAGTTCTTTTGGATGAACCGTGAGATAAAATCGATAATTTAATTACCAAAGAATAAAGGAAAAGATTTAATAACTTCCGCCCAACGATTATTACTGCTTGACGATTATTACTAAGTTTCTTCTGCGAAAGAAACATTTACAGTCGCATAACGAAATGTATTTCACTGTAATACTGAACACAATCGTGGACAGCCATCATATTATTCTATTGCTAAAAACTTTCAAAATTCTTAAAACACACCTCATTATTGATATCAAAAACACCTTCTTGTATTTTCCGATAAATTTCTTTTGCAGTGTCGATGAATGCCTGAAAATAAATAAGATTCCGGAACCATTTCTAAATCATAAAAATAAAGCAGCATCCGAATGACTATGTTCAAGATGACAAGATGCAATAAAAAATATGCGACCTCTTCTACGTTTGCTGCGGTTTTTGCAGATGTTTCCATAAAAATTAGACCATGCTCACGTGCGAACGCCTCTCCTTCTTCTTTCTTCACTTCTCGTCGCGCTTCCAAATCACTGAAAAATTATTCTTGTACAATAATACAAATCATTCCACAGAAAGACTGAAAATTTGTGCCTCATAATTCCTCATAACCCACTTTTTGATCATGCAAAATAATGACAAGCACAGAAACTGTTTCTATTTTAAATTTGGACAAATGAAAGCGAAATGGTGGCAAGAGCAATAATAACAAGCAAACACTTTAAACTGAATAGTCAGATTTAGATTTCATATCAGTAGAATTTCGACCAAGGTTTTCTTCATTGCTTAACTGTTTAATTTGAAATCACTACTCAATCTCAATCCCCCAACTTAACTGCAATAGCAGTGCTAAAATATGTTAAAACATCGCATAAACGTTTAAGAGGCTCCAGTTTCCTCCTGCAGTTTTGCAAAAGAATTTAAGCCATCCAAATTTCAATATCAAGGCTGGTAATTTCAACCACTTTCGTAAAGAACATATGTAAGGTGATATTTGATGTACAATAATGCTACCCTAAGGAAAAAATGACATTAATGATTGAATACATCGTTTTGGCATTATCAATAAACCTTTCGGGTAATAAAATCAGTTCAGAATTCAGTACAACCTTTTATTCCCAATGAGCATAATAACCATATTAGAATTTGAATGCTGTCGTGCGTCTTCTAACCAAGAAGCCAGATGATTAAATGTATCACGCCTGAAAAGCATTACATTTCAATCCTTTCCATCATGTAAAAATAAGATTGCAGTGTGACTAAAATTTGATTTTACCAAAACATTACCGTGTTATGTCATAAACAAGAAGTGCACCTGCTGCTCCACGATAATATGAGCGCGTTATTGAACGGAACGATTCCTGACCTAGAACTCATCAAAAATTTGCAAATGCTTATGAAAGTGCAAAAACTGATAATTTCAAATGAAACACAGACAAATAAACATACCAGCCGTATCCCAAATCTGTAGTTTAATTTGTTTACTATCGATAGTAATCATACGAGCGCCAAATTCTACACCTGAAATGTTGTATTTGGAAATCATGACCAATAGCAGATTACTTAAAAATCTGAAAGCAAATCATGTTTAATTTTCGCAAAGCATGATCTTTCATTTATTGTCAATATTGGTGGAATAAGTATAGAGATCACTGCACAACTCGCTATCGAGTGTTTGAGTCTTTCAGCCTTAATAGACTAAAATTTTTTCTCAGTAGACTAAAATTTCGAAAAATTCCTGTACAATTACTAAAAGAATGCTCCATTTCAGCATCCTTCAACATATGACAGTACTCTGTTAAGGTATTCTTTAACATATAATAGTATCTACTACTAAAATAAATGATAAGCAATAAGTGTAATAGAAATATCCAAATCAGCGTTAAATTATATACCAATTGTCAAGTCATGCACTGGCTGGAAGCGCTTGTCAGTGAACTGAAGAAGGAGACATGACTTTCCTACTCCTGAAATGCATCAATTTATAAAAATATGCTGCTATAACAACAACAAAGTAAAAATAAACTTTACTGGCTCCTTACCAATTCCATTCCCATGGTAATGAATCTTTTCTTCATTAAACCATAGTTGGTCTCATCAGGATAAAGTCTCAGAATAAGGAAACTGACACATATATGCGAGAAATTGGTTGAAAACAACCATACCTGTGTCTCCTATTATGATATACTTGAAGAGATATGCGTATGACATGCGTACTGAAAGTAACAAACTGCTGTGAAAAACGAATGAATCTCTGGTTTTTTTTTTTGAAACAGCATAAAACTTTCACAAAGATCCCATCTTCCTCTCCATAATTCCTCGCATAAAACCAGTCTATCAGTTGCCACCAGATCTCAGTAAGTCAGGAAACAAGCGAAATATTATGAGAGAGACAGAGGCGGAAGAATCTTGACCCCTCCAACTCGACCAACCACAAAAACTACCGAAGGTACCCAAATACCACCAGAAACCAACCACAAAGTGACAGCAGTGAGACTTGCTGAAGCGAACATCGATTAATGAACATTAGGCGGTACCGTATCGCAAGGAATATATGCCAGAGAGCATCGAACAGATAACAGCCCAATATGGTGCAGTTGACACTACTCTACTGGTATGTTGAGCAAGCGGGCAGTCAACCGGACAGTGGAGTTTCTACATTAGCGGAGTGAATATGAGACAACTTGGGAGGGGGACATTTTATGGAACGTGAAATACTACTCAGAGATATCCTTCGGCTGTTAAATAAAGTAATATGCAAATTTACTTACCAGAAATATAATATTGTGGAAGAGAAGAGAATGGATCATTTCACATATTTTCATCTTTTGACTCGCTTTTGAATGGCGATAAGATTATCTGCGGGAGGTGCATCTGAGAGAGAAGTTATGCTGAAAAAAGAAAGAAAAGGTGTAAATTAGAATGATCTTCCTATTATCAAGAGTAATTAATTAATTGTTGTTGAAGTTAATGAACTGATTTGAACGATTCTTCCTGTTCCAAATCATTTTTATCAGTTTTAGTTTCTTCCTTTTTAGACAGGAAAAAGATTGCACGTGAGAAAAAGTTGCAAAAGAATGGCAGTGATGATGAGAAAGCAGTACAGCAGCAAATACCAACCATAGAAGCAAAAAGTGCTAATGCAAATGAGAAAATAACAAGTACTGCTGTGGCCAGTGATAACAAAGCCGCCGCAAACGTGTAGCGTGTATTACACTTCACTCTTCTATTATTCTAGTCTTTAAGTGATTTAGTATCGTAACATGAACTTGATAATACAATAGATTCCTGCGCTTTTGGATTATTATCTGAAATATCTAACATAGGTCACTCAAGTCATTTCGTATAGTTAACTCCTTAATAGCCTCAATTTGTTTAGATCAACAGGATTACCACGTGATTTGCTTGTTGAACGTGAACAAAGTGGACGAATACAATCTTTGAGAAAATTCATCTATCATCATGGTTATCTATGTAATCGTACAGTAACTGCATGGAGTATGTTATTATGATAACTTATCATATTGACAAAAAATATTTATGAAGATATGAACAGAAACGGAGATAGGTTGGTCATTGCTGAAAATTGAAAGTTTTCATAGTGGTGACCTTGAGAATGCTGATAATAATAATGATAAATGATAACGACAATAATATTCAGTTATTACGATCTCATATTTGCTATGCATATACATTTTTCTTGCGTTACTAGTGACTACGGGCATATATATGTTGTTATACACTACCCGAGATGCACCAGTGTACTACGGCGAGACTACTTTCATTGGTGGTATTCCAGGTGTTATTATCAGTTATTTCTTAAAAAGACTTGTAATCCGTTGAGACTTGGAAAAGTCATTGGAATTTGCAAAATTGTTTTTTTTTTTCTACTAATTTCTAAGGTTGAATTAAAGCTATAATTAATAATTATGTCTCCAACTTAAAAAGTATATATATGTGTATGGTACTTCATTCAGGGATTGGTTTTGAACCCCGAAAGCGAAGTATGAAAAAAGAGCAAAATATTTTTAGATGGAATATTGATGATCCAACATCATATGCTTTTTATGTGCGAAGGCTGCGGAGAATTCTGTATGGTAAGTCACAGCACCAAATGAATTTACAGCTCACTTTATTATCTGTCAAAATTTAGAATATGCGAAGATGGAGATAATACCCAGCAAATTCAAAATAGATTGCAAGAAAACAGTTGTACCGTACGTGGGTGGAAAACCTGTAAAGCATTTCTGCAAAATAGAAGCAACCAATACGGACGAGAATTACGGTTATGGTGATTGTGCTTTAAGCAAGAAAGTTTTTGTTTTGCACTTCTGCTTGTATAAGACAAAGGTCAAAGATCATCCCATATCTACTTTATATATTTTGAACAATGTTGAGCAATGGTGAAACAAATATCTTAGAAATTTTCGAATAATAAAATAAAACCATATGCAGTGGCTAACTAACTTTAGAAGATGAGTTTATCATAAGTCTGATCTTAAATGATAACTTTGAAGTAATGTATGTGATCAACATTCAAAACACAGCTACTGCACTAAAATTGCCAGCAATTTTGATGAGATTGAGATTTCTTTTTTTTATTTAATAACTTAAATTTTCTAGGAAAACTAGGTTTGGATATGATATTGGTACACTTTGTGTTATGCTGCGCATAAATAAGGTATGCTTTGCTTGAGTTTAATATGTTACTTTATATATAACTTTTAGAATCGTTATCGGTGAGAAACTACAATAAAATGACCAATTAGTTGTCAATTGTCGAAGCTGTTTGCTTGAGATTAGAAGTAATAGATTGTAAATTCAACAAACAACATGATAAATCTGATATTACAAGATTTCTTCCTAAAAGCTTCACGAACGGAAGCTTCATGTCTTGTAGTTTTGCATTTTGACTCTGATAGTAATCGCATTTCAAACTATTTTCATAAAAGATCTTCTATAATACAAAAAATTGTTTGCCATCCATCCAAACCAACACTCTTCAATACTTAATTACTTATGCTTTAGTTATTTGGTTATTATCCAGAAAGTCCAACATATGACTTGTTTGCTAACAGTTCGCTAGATTTTGAAGCATATAAAATATGTGACCAAGTAGCGAATGTAACAGCTTGCTGCAACGATGACCGAATGTTGTTCCAGTGTTCTGTCATGGTACCACTTTTTAAGATTTTGATTAAACCTAAAGTTTCAACATTTCCATTATCGTTTCTTATTATTTATCATTAAAAAAAATATTTTCTTGTAAGAACTACTTCTGCACGCCTTGCAAAGTTTGAAATCATTACCTATGTCGTTGTCAGTTACTCTTACAAATTGCTATAATTAACTTGCTACTTTAATTAATTTGTCCAAATAGCAAGCAGCAAGCAGTGTAATTAAAAATGCTTCTTAGCTTTTATGTAAGCTTAAGATAGTTCCGAGACGGATATAAGTTTAAGGATATATTTTAAAAAAGATAATAAATTAATGCAGATTTCATCATTTCCTTCATATGTAAGATAATATACAGAAGAACGAACAATATTATTAATTACTTTTCAACTAAAATTAATTTGATGATTTCAAGGAAGGAAATACAAATGTAACTATAGTACAATATCCAAAATTTGGTTATCCCTATTGCTTCTATCCGTTCAATAATCAAGACGGTTATATGCAACCATTTGTCATGATCCAATTGTTCAACTTGATACCGAATAAGAGAGTAATATTTTGTCGGGATAAGTTAAATTTCATATTTCCTGCCAAAAGAAATTGAAGTTGGGAGATTGGAACTTGTATAATTATATACAAAACGTCAGTAAATCAATTAAAAATGTCAAATTTTTTCTGATTTTCATTTTTTTTTCTTATTCTGGAGTATCAATAATTCTTGGAAAATGCATTAATAAAGTTGAAATTTGCTACAGACTGGAATTCAATGTGTGCCAACAGCACCGGACCTTCAGGCAAGATCACTCATATTATGGTTTGAAATTACATCAAAAAGAAAAAATTAAATATATGCAAAATTGACTGTTGTATTTTCGATATATAAAAATTTCGATTAAGAGAAAAGAATACAATTAATCTAGTAATTCATATTTTCATCGTACATTATCTTATTACCTAAATTATAATATGATCTCAGGACTGATTTAACATTTCATTGAAAAATTCTATCAGCTAATAATATTCAATTTCTTTAGCGACATTATACAATAGCTCCTACATTGTTTATAACATTTCAAAATTCCAGTAAAGCTCCCATTGCCGTTATCTCTGAAATTAAGAGAGGTGACAATTAAAATAATAAAATTGAAGAAGAAGAACACGCAAAAACTTTCAACAATTCTTATTCTGACGGACATTACATAGAAATGGCTGAAGAGCACACGGAAAATGAAGCAGTTGTCTGATATTTCCTTTCTATCAGATCTGTATTATTCACAAAATTAGAAATTTTCAATTGAATTTTTTCCCTTTGCTTTATTAAAATCCCATCCTTGGTATATCAAATTAAAAATCCGAATTTGCCATATCAAATTAAAAATTAGTGTAATTGGAGAAGTGCATAGTGTGTAGCTCATCATCCAGTTCACGTGAGAGTTATTAGTTAATTTCAAGTTTAAAAAAATGCCATACTTTTATTTAAAAATTTATCTCAATTCAATTTTTCATTACAATTTTTGGACCTGAATCTGAATCAGTAGAATTTTAATTTGTTTGACCTGAAAATTTCAAATTGCTCAGACAGTACCCTAATTGCTGTATATATCACTGTGATAGATTAATCTGAATATATTTACTTACACACTTTGACAATTTGCTCTCATTCTTGAATATGCTATGTTTAAAATTCAAATTTTATACATTCATCAAAAAATCAATGAAACTTCAATATCTTCTTTCCTTTTTTATGTATATACAGTAAGAAATGTGTCCTATTAATTCTCTTTACTTTTCACTTTGACAGCAATGTAGCAATGAGAGTGTAAATTAGCTTGTCGAGCGCTAACAATCATTAATCGCTTATCTATTCGTTTTTACCTTTTTCATTTTTTTTTTTTCCATTAAGAAAGTGAGAAGAAAATCAAGCTGCGCTAATTAATAATCTGAGCTAATTGCACTAAAACTTGGAACTTAAATAGCTGTTGGGCCAACTTCATCTGAAGGTATGCCGAAGAAAAGTAATGTTACTAACATGTAATAACGCAGCTCAATGTCTTCTACAAATTCCAATAATTTGTAGAAAGTGGGAAGTAATAAAATCCGCTGCATAAATAAATCAATCTCATTTTAATTTTTTGATAAATTCAAATCATTTCTAAGTGCGGTTCTACGGGTACTAGTAGTACTCTATTCTCATGGTTCTCAAAAATTGTAAACAGAGTTATATGTCATTTAAAAAACATTGGATGATTTTAACTTATATAACTCTTTAAGCTTTCAATGTATTTTGAAAATGTGCTTGCCATTTTGAAATTTACTCTAACTCATAAGTAAGAACTGTTGCTATGATAAAGTTAGTGAAAAGATATATGATCTTTCGTAAGCAGCAAAACTGACAAGAACTTAGAATCATTACTATACTGTGCATAGAAATGTTGTAAGAAGAGAACTTTATCATGAAGTGTACAGTTTGATAATTCAAGTTAAGATATCAAAAGAAAGAAAAAGAAGAAAAAGACTTCCTTCATTGAATTAATACCCGTAATGATACTGATAATATAACGAATCGTAGATCCTTAACCTAAAAAAAGGTTATCGGTCAGTCCTCTTTCTTTAGTAAAAATAAAGCCATCTTTACAATTAATTGCAAAGTTTAAAAGAAATTTTGAAGGGACTTAATAGCAACAAGCATACTCATAAGAAGATCAAATTGAAATCAATTTAAATCTGCACCGACCCTAGTCACTTGGTGACGTAATTGTATCGTCGTCCTCTAGCTCTCCAAGTTGTCTCAACTGCTCTTGCAATTCCCATAATATACTAGTCTTCTAAAAAAGGTTTTGTTCTCTTAAAAGATAATCGTCTAAGTGATATGAAAAGAGTGCTTGTATTTAAAAAGATTATATTAAACAAATTTTCCTTCAAATAATTGTCACATAATAAAGAAGGAAAGAGTGCAAAAATCATAATAACAGTAATCAAAATTTGAAACTTAATTGTTGCAAGTCAAATCATCATAAAATTTTTGTAGCGCTTTTTATCAGATGCATTTACCTGAAGTAAATATCGATGTAATAATATATTCTCTTCTTCCAAACGTTGTAAGTGCTCTCGCCTAAAGATATTTGTTGCGCTAAAAACATCTCATTGAAAAGTGGAAATAAATTGTAAGATAGATTGAATAGACTGAAATAAAAGTTAAATTGGTCGAAGTTACAGTTATTCAGCGGAACCGAAAGTTTTAATTGTGTCTTAGTTAAGCGGTTGAAATTATTATCGCTTCCATGAATACAATGATACATTTTCAAGAGGTCAATATTAGTGAAATTACTGATTGATATTGCAATTGCTGAGCGATTTTGGTAGAGTTAGAAAAAAAATTGGTTTTATCCTTATAAAACAATCTTGAACATTCTAACGTTTAGTAAAAAATAAACAATTTACTCATTGTGTTGTGAAGTTTGCTGTGATTCTGATCTTCCAAGAGTAGATTTTACTAGACCACGTCGATAACGTAACTCAGTGCCTTGAGGATTTCGTAGAAGTTCCACAATCTAAAATGCCGGAAATTATTGTTTACTTAAATGTCACTGTTAATTAATTATTTTTGTTTTTAGTTTCACCAGTAAAAAATTGATTCACTCAAAAACGACATCAAAGCAATTATTACATCAATCCTCAAAGTCACAAATAGGAAATTAGAATTAGTATAATTTTGCCCTTGAAATTTCTCGCTGGCACTGTCAAATAGTAAAAGTAATGGCTTCTAAAATTTTTTAATTAAAGCGAACCAAAGAAAAAGTATTCCGAAAACAATATTTTGGAAAAATTTTAACTTACCTTTGGGACAAAAACAAGGCAAAGAATCAAAGTTGTACAAAATATAATAAAAAGACTTCCCAGTATATGCGCTTCATTTACTCGATCCTAAAATTAAGTTATCATTCATGAAATAAAGGTCGGTTTTTATCAATAATAGAATTAGTCATCATGTACTGCAAAAACTGCTACAATTTAAAACGTAAGAAACAATGTGATATGATGTGATCGATCAACCTTTCAGCTTGCGATAAAATTAACCTTCAATATGTACACAAGCGGAAGACCAAGTAAGCATGTTACGACAACACTATAAACAGACATTCCTATATATTTACTGTCGTTTAATGCTGGTACATTTACACGTCTCGTTTCCCACGCCAGAAAACAGCCAAGTAACTAAAAGTTAACATTTATTTAAATAATCCTTATTTAAATTCAAGAAAATTTCATTGAAATTAAATGGGAATAAAATAAAGGCTAAAAAAGCAAATTAAATGAAATGATTAACCCACCATAAGAAGGCCTTTAATACCCAATATGATAGCTTCAAAAATGACGCTATTATCACTTCTACAACGCTCGATTTCTGGTGCTATCATCTTGTTATCTGAATACTGCAAAGATATGTATTATTATGGCCATCTTTTCACATTATTCAAAATGCGAATATCATAATTTATATCGCTATGTATGCATTCGTTCCAACCTAATTTTGACGTGTCACCTATGGCGATTGGAAGTTAAAGGTCTTTTTTGTTTTAATTTGAATAAGGCTGACTAGTTTTGTGACAGTAATATATTGTGGACTTACAAATATAGCTAACTGGTTGACATGAAATGTGAAAGGTGAAATACGAGCCCATAAGGCTAATGAAACCAAATCAACGAGAACAATGAAGCCGACCAACATAAATAATTTATAATCTTTAATTGCTTTCTTGTTCATACGAATATTTTTGAAAATCAAATGAACTCGCCAAGTCTTTGAGAACATTGATCCGAAAGCTAGTGTAAAACCAAGGCTTAGTACCCATGTTTTTACCTGGAATATAATAGTTACTTCCTTACTATAAGGTAGTTTTAATTTACGAATAGAATACTTCTACGAATGAAAACGATTTTGTTAAACAAGACATTTTTTTTTTTTCTTATCAGTTCTTAAAACTAGCTGGAAGAGAAGAGTGGGTGGATGGGAAAAAAAATTAGGAGACGATCAATTTGCTGCAATATTTTGTGTAACGCATTCGTCTTTGCATTCAAACACTTCGTTTGAAGAGGTCAAGTCAAGAAATTTTCATCGACTCGACACTTATTTTAAAAAGTATGAAAAGTATTGTCTGGTATCTTCGGTTGAATGAAAAGGCAGAGTTGATAAGAGTAATTAGCATACGTAACAAAGTGTAACAAAAGTGTCCGGTGAAACGAAACGTGTATCGAAGCCAAGTAGAATTACGCTGATATAAGTGCAAATGGAACCTGCTATGATTAGATTGTTCATATTTGGTGATGACATCTTGATATATCTGTAAAAAAAGTAATAAATTATTCGTTACATTCATGATATACAATTTAATGCTGCACGTTACACGAGAATTTCATTAATATGAAACGTGTATGAGTAACGTAAGAGTTATTCAAATTCTTAATTTTATACTAAAATATTTCCAAATGAGTTCAGATGTTTGAATTTTTGTTCCTTTCAGGAGTTGCAACGTTTAGCAACAAACATTGCAGGAAATAAAATAATGATTTTTCCTCATGTCTTAAACGTTTGGCTTACCGATGATTTTGATATCTGATATTAATGATGAGAAAGAAAACTGCAATTGCTACACCGATAATAGCAAGTAATGATAAGAAGATGAACAACACGAATGATATATATTGTCGTTCACGTACAACAACTGTTGCATCTAACGGTGGTGTCCAATCTGAAAACTTTACGTAAAGACAATTTAATTATTATCATAAATACTTCTACAAAATTTCATATCGAAAAAAAACTTATAAATCCTAGAAAAATATG